GTCTTTTAACAAATTCAAGGGTGAGACATGTGAATTGGGCGAGTAATGTTGTTTTTCCCTTATCTGTTTGGCTTTGTACTCGTTGACATTCCCATGTCTTAAGAATGTGAGTTTTATATTTTTTTATTGCAAAGTTCAATAGATTTCTGGTCCTTGGATAACTCTTGAGAAAAAGTTTATTTACAATAGTAGAAAGCTAAGAGCATAAATGTGATTTTATTCATAGAATCCATATTTACAAAAATAAAAATAAAAAATACAGCAAAAAACTGTTTTAGTTCAGTAAACATGAGAGACAGAGACAAAGATGGAGTGTGGGAGATGCAAAATAAGATAGAGCAAAAAGGAGAGAGAGATGAATGGGATGTCCAAACTTGCTCTTTGATTTGCAATATTGAAAACTGTATTATTCCAGATATGAAAAATAATCAAAGATCATACGTAGGTTCAATAGGGACATGAACTCCAGGTATGCCGTACTGTTTTGAATTTCACAGACCGTTCCAAGCCCAAACAAAAGGTGATTGACAGCCATTTTAACACTTTGTTACATCCCAAAAGCATGCATCCCGTGGAGTAGAGAAAGAAATCATACAATGTATGTGTGTAATGCTCTTTTGTTAGTAGAGGTGTTAAGATTGTCCATGTAACAGGTGCTGTGACCTTGAGTCTCTTTTTACTTATCCCTAGTTGGATGTTTGATGCTCATCTATTTCATTACTGTGCAGCTCCAAATTCAGCAGTCTAGTTGTCACTGACTGGAGAGAATGTTGAAAGTGTATTGGATGAAATTCGACCATATCTGATTTCCGATGGGGGAAATGTTGCATTACATGAAACTGAAGGAAATGTAGTGCGCTTGAAGCTACAGGGAGCATGTGGCTCCTGTCCAAGCTCCGTTACAACAATGAGATAGAGCAAAAATGAGAGAGAGATGAATGGGATGTCAGAGAGAGAGAAGACATGAGCAGAGAGAATAAAGGAGAGAGGAAATGAGGTAATAATTAAAAGGGTATTTTAGGAATATTGGTGGGTGTAAAAATAGGATTGTGTTTTTTAAAAGAATAATGCTACTCTTACCACATTTGTATACCACATTCTCATACCACCTTATGTGGCAGATGAGGTGGACAACACATCAATTAAAATTAATTTAAAGTTTTCTTAACTTTTATGATTTATTGACACTTTTTATTTGATGTGATTGTCTACTCATCTGCCATATAAGGTGGTATGAACATGTGGGATATAATTGTGGTAAGTGTAGCATTACTCTTTTTAAAATTTATACGGTGGGTGGAAAAATAAGGTGGGTGGGAAAATATGACAGGTGGGTGGAAATAGCAGCACTCTTTGTTAATTAATTATGATCATAAACAATTCTTTCTCGTAATTATCCGAAAATATTTAAAAAGGAATGTAATCCGAAAATATTTAGAAAGGAATGTAATCCTATGTAGCACAAAAGTCAAAGGACTTGTATCAAAGTCACCAACTCCGAGGATCAAAACCAACTTCTCAATGTGAATTTGGATCTATATCAACTTTTCAAAAAAAAAAAAATTTGCTAAGACGTTGGATGGAAAAAGAAAATAAAGAGTAATATGGAATAATGTGTGGACTTTTTGATTGATTAATTTCCATATTTTCTCTATTAATTGTATCCTTTGATTTTGCTGGTTTTTATCTTTCTACGATTCTGCTCTAAGAAAAAATATTACTAAAGAAGAAGATGGTATCAAATAAATAAAATTCGAGGCAGGTCAACCATACATAAATATAAATCACATAGGTAAATACATATAAAGAAGATTAATTGCAGAGAAAATCTCGATAAAAATTTCTGAAAGAGTAAGTGAATCCTGGGCGTCACTGGAGATTTGTTGTGATATTTTATTTACAGCAAATTCATGCGTAAGAAATCCTATAAGAAGGTGTAGTTAGATGTTCTATAGATACCACCAAATAACAAAACATGGAATTATCTAAGGCTTACTTCTTTGTATTGTTATCCATTTTTCTCTCACTACCCTATGTTTTTGGTGATTTCCAGAAGCTTGTTTCTTCATCTCCTATCAAACAATCCCCACAATCTGCTGAGCTTAGACGTCGTCTCGTCTTGATGAACTATTGGAGCAAGAGAAAGGTACCTGATGCTCCAAACCCTTTACACAACCCAGTCCTGAAGAATTACTGGAGCAAGAGGAAGGTAGTTGAAGCTCCAAACTCTAAACACAATCCAGAGACACCTGTTAGTATTAATTATAAAGACAGGAAATATTTAGGTTTTCGTAAGTTTGGTGGTTCTTCAAATATTTATGATCCACTGAGACTTGTTCCTTCGGGCCCAAATGGTGCAGAGTCTCCTGGAAAAGTCCCCACAAATGCACATGGAGTTGGGAATTAAGCCATGGAGGCTAGCTAGCTATAGCTCCATATTAATCCAAAGGGGTTTCCATATATGATGGTGTACCTTATAGTCAATAAAATTGGATTAAGGCAAGAACAAATAATACTATAGTTTCTTCTTGTTTTGCTCTTTTCCAACGAAACACATCTTCAAATGATTTACATATGCATATAATTGGAATTTGAATTTGAATCAGATTGCTAATATCCACCCTTGAATTTGAACATATAGAAGCAATGAAATTTTTATGCATACGTCCATGCTATAGTTAAGGTGTAAAGAATTTTAAACTGAATCGTGATAATCCAATTTTATTTGTATATTTACTTACAATTCAAACTTGAATTTAGGTAGGTCCCTTTGCACTTATATAACACAAGTTTTTAGACCAGTTTTTTGCATTTAGACACAATCACTTAAGTGTGAGATGGTTGTTTGAATCTTATAAAGGAAAAACTATTGTATGGTACTCTAGTACGGCCACCTGAATTTAGAGTAACGGTGCCTCATCCTTCTTCTAAAAAAGGGATTTTACACTAATGGTCTTGAATTGTGGGAAACTTATCATTTTGATCCCTAAACTTCAAAATTGATCAATGGAAAAAGAAAAAAAGAAAAAAAGAAAAAAAAAAGAAGCTCTTAAGGGCTCTCTTTGAAAGGTACTGGCAACGAAGTCCAAACAGGCCCTACGAAAAAAAGGCCTTTAGCGACATGCAAATTCCGTCACAAAAAACAAAAAAAGTCGTAAATAGCGATTAGCAACGGCAATGCGACGTTTTTTGCCACGTCGCAATAAAAGGTGTCACAAATGATTTGAGTCCTTTTGATGACACTTTGGGCCGTAGTAATAACGTATTGCGTCGAATTTGCGACGGTTAAAAATTGTCGCAATGAACTGAGTGTCATATTTAAGACGTGATTTTACGACACTAGTCACGACGCGATCTCATGTCGCAACTAAAGCAATTGCGATGGTGCCATTCTATCGCTAATTCTTATACGACAAAGGAAATGCCTTTTTGGTGACAGTGTATACGACGGCGGCACGCGTCGTTAAGAAAGATTTAATGACTATATGTTGTGTCACAATAATTATGTGACACAATTTTAATAAATTCAGTTTTTTGAATTAAATATTTTGTACAACTTGCTTCAACGCACAAAATTTAATTTGCAACACCAATAACAGTCTTAATTGACATTTAAACTGTGATTTTTAATCAGAATTGACTATAAAAACTTATAAAATGGTGTTATATCTCGATCAAAGCAAAAATAACTTCATTCATATACTTGAAAGTACCATCTTTTGCATTAACACAAAAAAACTAATAATTATAGAATCTCAAATCTCAAGTCATATGTAAACAATACCATCTCTAGATATATAAAACAAAATATTACGGATTCAAAAGTATTAAAATTAATAGAGTTCAAACTTGAAGTAGTCATCATTATCTTGTATTTCATCTTCACCCCTAACATGAAAATAGTGACAAAAACATAAATAAATTAATCGAAAATTTATATATTAATTTTTTTTCGAAGATATTTATCTAACCTTTTAATGAAAACAATTTCTTTTATGCCTCCAAGTCTAAATTAGGCTGCAGCTTGCTATCAACACTAAGTCTTTGTTGATGCATACTTGAGGCATCTGGAATCTATTGAGGACATGAAATATAAAATATTTCGAAGTTACAATAAAAACAAAGAAACATTTAGGCCAGTTTGACATTGCTGTGTTGTGAAAATAATCGCTGTTAGATTTGCTGTGAGAGAAATCAGCTGTAAGAGAAAGCAGTTTGGCGTTTGGTAAACTTTTTGTTACAAGTGTTGTTGGTGCTAATTCCCATCATAATCAGAAAATAATTGCCGCATTATCATTAAACTCTGTGCCTCTTCGAAACTGATTCCTGCATAATCAAAAAATGAAAGCACCTCATTAGCTGCTTTCTCTTATAGCTTTCTCTCACAACAATTTTTAACAATAAGTGATTTTCTCATAGTTTACCAAATGGGCTGAGCTTCCCAAAATTAAAAAAAAAAAAATCACTTATCACCCAAATAAGCAAAGCCAAACGGGCACTTAAATTTTAACAGTATTTATTCTTTAATAAGAGAAATACTTTAAATATAATGTACCTGGCAACTTCCACTTTCTTCTGGGGTGGTTTGGAAACCAACATGAGTCATCACTTGACTAAGTTGTGAGCTGACTTCATTTAACTTGGATTGGAGATCATCTATTTTTTACTGATATTATTTCTCTAGCTCCTCTCTCATCCTATTTTCATTATTGTCGTAATTTGATTTATGACCAAACACTCACCAGCCCCATACATGCGAACACGCCCATGCGCATTAGTTCCCATCACTTTAGTAAATATCTCCTCTCTACATGACTCATCTTGTTCATCTTCTTCCCTTTCTTCCAAACATTGGTTGAATTGATTCTACAAAATCACACTTGCATAATTGGTTCATTTGGCTAAAAGATAAAATTTCAAAACAACTCTATATTCAGACTTACAATAATATCCTCATCAAAAACTTCATTTTCATCATCTTTCTTCTTCTTTGTTCGAGTAAACATGCTCAGACGATCAGTCTTCTCTCCTTTCTCTTTCATCTATGTAAGAAAAAAAGAATTGATCTCGTTAAATATATATCTAAAAAGAATACCAATGACCAATCTGTTACATACAGCCATAGTACAAATTCTAAATCTTCTGTTAGCATTATTTGCCTGCCATTCAAGATATATGCCTGAACAAAAAGGATTAGCTAATAACAATACCTATATGGTCAATGACTATAGAAAGAATCATTAGCACATAACAAAAAAAAAAAATTAATACAACAACATAAATCAATAGAAAGCCAACCCCATTTATAATCAATCTAGTGTTCTTACCACATTTCTCAACTGAGCAAATGATGTGAGACTAGTCCTATGTGGAGCACCTCCTTGTGCACGATTGACCTTATTCGTCTCAGAACATTCCTATAAGATGGTTTTATCATTGATAATTCATCTATCCTACAAACATAAACTATAAACTTACTAGATATTTACTTTTACTTTTGGAAGACCCCAATATTTTACTGGTGTCTTCCACTGCTCTGTGACCACCCGAGGAGGAGTGATGGCTAAGCGTTGTTCATCAGTGTCATATTTATCATACCATTTCTGCTTCAGTTGGCACTTCCAATCCCTCCATCTATTACCAACTACCTTTAGGCAATGGAATCTATATGCCTCAGGGGCATCTGTATTATCCTACAATTATAACATTTTAATTATCAATCAAACTGAATACACATACATTATCACAATTGGAGTCGGACATCCATAAGAATATGTCATCCTCAAACTCTTGTATTCCACATCAATGTGGTTCGTGACATCAATTCCGTTATAATTTCTGTTAAGTTTGGTCAATTTGACCTATTTTTTTAAGGGTATTTTTGTTAAACTGTTTCTCTTTCTCTCATCTCTCTTTTCTATCTCTGTCTCAATATCTTTGTTTCCTGAATTTCTTCATTCTCATCCGTCGCTTCTCAAATGATTTTTTGTTGTATTTATGAAAAAGAGAAACGGATCAATTTCCAAGTGCATAAAAGTTAGGAAAAACATATTGCAATATATATTCTTTATTTCTTAAATAGTTATTGAATATACAAATTAGAATTTGCAACCAAATTCCTAAGAGAAATGTGTCTCCATCAACTAAACTCTAACCAAGGCTAATGGGGCCTAACTTAGTGGAAAACGACATTGATATGTTAATAAGTGATCTCAAGTTCGAACCAAAGTGACACTTTGGCATAAATAAATAAAAAAACAACTAAACTCCTAACTTTGGTATTAAAAACCAAGAATATGCTTTAAGGAATTTCCACCCATATATAAAACCATGTTTCTTCTCTTTTGTAACATGGGCATCTTTCATTTTAGCTATTTTAGATTTCTGTCAACAAAATTTTTAACGTAAACAATTAGAATATAGCCAAAAGAAAATGCAAGAAACAAATGAAATAATAGAGGGAGGGCTTTGAGAATTAACAATCAGAAGAGTTAAATGACAGATAAACTCAACAATGATGTACTCACCAAAAAAGAATGGTGATTTCCGATATAAAATATCCATTTACCATAATCCAAAATTCTTTTGAATAATCAGTGAAATCCAATGAACAGAAAAGGTGAAAGCGAAGAACCATTGTTTTGTACAAGAGATTTGGCTTCACACTTCACGTCTTCACCATAGAAACCCCTTAAGCCATAGCACAACGTCTTACAACTATAAAAAAGTGGGTATATAAAAAAGGAAAGTAAACAAATGTGGGTAATAAAAAAGGAAATTGTAGGAAAAAAAAAACAGAAATATATTAAAAACAAGTTTCCTATCATGAAAGGAATTAAGGCAAGTGAGTGAAACATGAAGGCATAAGAAGCAGGGAAGTCTGAAGATTTACCGTCATATCTAGGAGACTGAAACCCTAGCTAGAGAATAAAAAGGGCAAGCTGTCCTATAAGTCCTGCCCAAAATAGGAAATCGAAACCCTATAAGAAGGCAAAGTTGGCTGTTTCAAAGGGCCATCAAACAATATAATCGATCAGAGATGGAGTTTTCTAAGACCTACTTGTTTGTGTTGCTCACCACTCTTCTCTTGCTGTGTTCTTCTTGTTCTGGCGATCAAGGGTCTGCAAATAATGATCTCAAGACTCTTGTTTCTTCATCCGTTCCATACCCAATCAAACAATCCACCAAATTTGCTGATCAACATCCTCTCCTCAAGTATAGGATCAAGATGCAGGTCCCTTCTGGCCCAAACCCTTTACACAACATATTGCCACCAAAGGTTGATGGTGCAAAAAATTATCATATTTTGAGGGAGGTTCCTTCGGGTTCGAATCCTTTACATCACAACATTCCCCCGCAGAAAAAGTTCGATGATCCAGCAAATCATCAAATCTTGAGGGAGGTTCCTTCCGGTTCGAATCCTTTACATCACAATATTCCCCGGCAGAAAAAGTTCGATGATCCAGCAAATCATCAAATCTTGAGGGAGGTTCCTTCGGGTTCGAATCCTTTACATCACAACGTTCCCCCGCAGAAAAAGTTCGATGATCCAGCAAATCATCAAATCTTGAGGGAGGTTTCTTCGGGTTCAAATCCTTTACATCACAACGTTCCCCCGCAGAAAAAGTTGGATGATCCAGCAAACTTTTATCCCACAAGGCTTGTGCCTACTGGCCCAAATCGGGCAGAGTCTCCCGAGGAACCGCCTTCAAAAGTACTGTCTGCTCCGCTTCCGTCACCTTCACCTGCGAAAGCAAAGCCATGGAGGAATGCTCCATTTATTTAGCTAGTTATAGTCAATAAACCTAGAATAGCATTTAGTTTCTAGTTTTCCTTTTAGAAAATTTTGCTTAGGAACAAAAGCTCAACGTCAACATGGGTGGAGTCCACGGATTCTTGTTTGCCTATTTCTTTTTGGATTTGATGACTCATATTTGTGTATTTAGCTGCCTTTTTTTTCTTATTTGCCGTATCAATCCCAACTGTTGTGTTAAAATTGCCACATATACTTTCTTTAAAAAAAAAAAAAATCAGAATATTGCCACATATACAATTGGCTAAATAGTTATTCAATTAACCTCACAAGCTCCCAAAAAAAATAACCCCACTACGTATAACCACCACATGATCACCACTGCATCATCACCACCAAGGTATGCCCCTCGATCAAATTCAACAGCATTCGCAGCCAAAAGAGATAAAGATCAAATATATTGATAAAGTTGATGGCAGAAAACTGATGAAATTGAAAACGAAATTTGATTACTTTTAGAACGGGAAAAGTTAGACCAAATTCAAGTGAGCATTTTCGTGATTGTATTAATTGTTACCCGATGGATTTAATATATGAAACCAATTGCGTAAGATTCTAGTCATTTAGGAAGTGGGTCTTTGATTTGACGATCAGTAGATTCCCATTGAGATTGAGATGATGGCCATATGGTAGGAAGGCTTAGTGAGGTTGTTTTTCCAGTCTGGTTGGATTGGTTTTACAATGACGGTGGTGGATTGGTTTTGCAGTGAATGTGGTGTATCGGTTTTGGTACTGTTAGGGCTCGTTTGGTTGGTGTCTTGTTAAGGCTCGTTTGGTGCCTCGGATTGGATTGGATAATGAGCTTAAGATTTAATATTAACTCTATTATTTTTTTCATTTTTTTCTCAAAAAATTAGTGACTGCTTATCAGAATATGCGGCAATTTTTATTAGCTCAGGGCTAGTGACGTATACATGCCATTTGGGATCCACATTGTGTTCCTAGCATTTTCCTTCAATTTAATTCCAGGTTTCTTTAATCAATAATGTTAGGAACATCAAATTTGAGTCCTAAAAATGAAATGGCATCTACCATATCATTATGTTTCAATTAAAATTAATACATGTATTTAACAGTAATTAACTTATTTTAACACAGAAATTAATTAAAAAATAATTTTTGAGTGAACCTAAAAGTGACCACCATGTTCTACCTCCACCAATCCTCCCTCTTTGCTATTCACATAATATTGGGTGCATTTGGCAGTGTGGCGGGGCTGGGCTGGGGAGCCACAGTGGTGAGGGGCAGTCCGACTGCTTGACGGGTGGCTCGACAAAGTAAGGATTGGTCACTTTAAGTTAACTAAATACACCCTATTTAACTATTAAAAATACATCTGATACATCTTATTTAAATAATTTTAAAAACTAAACATTTACAAATGAAATAACTGAAAAGATTTATTTATAAAAATATAATATAAAAGACCCTACTGACACTGAGCCCCCCGCTCTCTCTCTCCTCCCACAACCGCTTCCACATCCAACCCCTACCCGCCCATTCCTTCCTCCACCACCACCCATCCATCTCGAAGTTCTACACCCTCCCTCCCACACCTCCCTTCGTACCCAAGCCCCCAAAAATTTATCATGGTACCCAGCCCCCTGCCGTACCCACAAATTATCATCTTGACCATCGTACCTCAAGTGGGCTAGCACTTATATTTTTTTATTCATCATGTCAACTAAATCCAACACAGTGCCATCTCCATCTGGATCCATCTCGCTTTCCTACTTATATGAGCTAATTTCATGTCACTGTGCTCTTTGGCTTGCCTGGGTGTGTTCCCATGAAAGACGAATGTTGCCCTTTCTTGAAATTAGGTACAAATGAAGCCAACGTGGCGGGGTTTCTTTTGTTTTTTGTTTTTGTTATTTTTCTTTTATTAGCTCCATACCATAATCAATATGTTACAACATTTTTTTTATTAGGGTTGAATATGGTTGGTAGGGTATACTTATTAAATTACATTTGTTTTACAATTCAATATATATCATTTTTGGTCATTTTATATTACGATAAATTAGTAATTCAATAAATAGTTTGATAATAGGGTGTTGTTGCTGATACTTTCTTCTCAGTTCCTTCTTCTCCTTCTTCCACAACCCGAGCTCGGAGAAGGAAGAGATAAGAGGGCCCTATGGAGAATGTGGTTAGAAATTCTCAGTTAATTTTAGAGTTCGTTTAGCAACATTTTATTAATTATTGTTAAGTACATGTCTCAATTTCAATTAAAACATGATATGGCAAATGTCACCTTATTTTGAACTCAAATTTGGTATCCTAGCGCCACCCTCCTTTAATTGTATTCATTGACTCTGTTCATTGGTTGGTATTATGGTCAATTAACGTTAATTTGAAAATTCTTTATCAATTGGTTGTTATCTTCTCCTCCTCCGTTTCTTATAGACATCCTTAGCCAAAGGCATATTCTTACCTATACGTACGTCCCTCATCTTCTCTTTGTATTCACCTCAGCAAGAGGTAATACAAAATATAGCCTACCTCAATATTACCTATATATCCCTTAGGTATTAAGATTGAAACTCTAGAGTTCTCTACAAGGCTTTAGGTTTTATCACAGTAACGCGAATCCTCATGTTCTAAAGGTACAAATTTCTCTTATTACCCTATTGCATTTTTTTAGCATACGTTGGGCTTTCTATCTTATAAGTGTCATTACTAAGGGCCAGTTTGGGATTGATGTGCTGTAAAAATAATTGCTGTCAGATTTGCTGTGAGAGAAATCAGCTGTGAGAGAAAGCAGTTTGGCGTTTGGTAAAATTTTTGTTAAAAGTGTTGTTGGTATTGATTTTACGCATAATCAGAAAATGATCGCCGCATAATCATTAAATCCAGCACTTCTTCAAAACTG